ATTATTCAGTGAGGAAAAAATATGCCTATGAAAAGCATTTATTGTAACATGGAGTAATTATTATATTAATAGTGTGGCATGAGAATGGAATCTTATATGCAGATTTAGTTTTATAAGATAAAATATTTTTAAAAGCCGTTTTATATGTGTTTGCAAGTGAAGTAGTGCTATTCCAGGCTTGCCTCATCACCAGTCCCACTTCCAAAAGGCCCCTGCCCTCAATTCTTGAATATGGTTTCATTGCTATTTTTGTGATGAATTCAATATACTCATTATCTCTTGATTTACTGCAAAGTGAAAAGGGGCATGTATTCTCATATTGCACCTTCCATTTTTCCTGATTCTGTTATTAATTATATCACCAGTTTTGGTTAAATCAATAGTGTATACATTATTATGGCTGCCAGTATTATTCACTGCCAGGCCTACTCAGGGCTTTATTCCAATCCTTTCATCTTCCTGGAGTTAATAATTTTTTTTCTCCATTTGCTTAGTTGTCTGTGTGTTTGTATCCAAAATCCCCAGCATCACTGCCACATGCCAGTCAATAAGCTTTCCATCTGGTCAAACACATCAGTTGCTTTTGAACATAGAGACTTCCCTCTCCATTCCCTTTGTCTCCTTGCTCCCATTTCATCTGGTTACTCCCTAGGCCTGCTGCACAGTTTTCCTGAGACTTCCCTTTTGTTGTTTCCCCTGGACTTTCACCACTCTCCTGTGTACTTTACCTGTTTCCTGAATCCTGTGTTTTCTTTTCTGATTTACTCCTTTCTTTTGGCGGGGCACATTCTCCAGTAGTTCCCTAAGAAATTGTGCTTCAGTCCTTGTATGTCTGGGAAGGTTTTTTTTTGACACTCACAACGGAATGATAGTTTGTTATAGAACTGTATGACAGGATTTATTTTCTTCATCAGAATATTGAAGCATTGTTCTTACCGGGTTTTGACTTTACAAGTGTTCTTGAGAATTGCATTGCCTTTCTGATTCTTGATGCTGCCCTGCTTATCTGACCTGTTCTCCCTTCTGGACGCTTCTAATGTCTTATTTTTATTCCTTATTCTGAAATTTTACTTTTAGCTATTTGGGAAAAGAGGAGGGACAAAGAAGATCACATGTATTGATTATTTATTATATGACAGGTATCATGCTAGGCATTGTATATATAATTTCATTTAACTGGAAAACTTCTTAACTGGATTTTGCACCTTGTCAGCCATGTTTGGAAAATGGCAGTATCCCACTATACACAGGCAGTTTTGCCTGGGGGAAACTAAATTACACGAAAGCACAGTGATTCAGCTGTGCTTATTTGTTTACATCCTCCACTGCATCCCAGACGTTAATATGTTCGCTATATTTCACTTCCTCTACCTTAATCTTTTTTTCTCTTTCCTTCACAGAAACACTTGTTTCTATTAATCAAGTCATATACATGGTTGTTGTTCTAGGAGTCAGTGATATTCAGTGATGTGTCCATAGATTTCACTCAGGAGGAGTGGGAATGCCTGAATGCTGATCAGAGAGATTTATACAGAGATGTAATGTTGGAGAATTACAGCAACCTGGTTTCAGTCGGTAAGGATATGTGTTCATAATAATTCAGATTCTGCCCTTGGAGAGTTTACCTCCTTCAGTGTGAAATGCTACCTACCTTTTGAAAACCAGTTGGATTTCTATACCCTGTTCACATAGGAATGTTCTGAATATTGTAGAGTTAGAAAAAGGAAGCTACATTGAGTTATGGGGGATATTTCAAATCTTCTGTTATGTTCCATAAGTCTGTTGTACCTTTCTTTGACTCTTTCTGTAATATCCTGTCTTTCTTTATAATGAAGTGACTGGATTTGAGTTCTGGGACATTCTCATCATAAATTTGTCTCATTACTTCTTTTGTAAGCAGGACATTCCATTTCTAAACCAAATGTGATCTCCTACTTGGAGCAAGGGAAGGAGCCCTGGTTGGTTGACAGAGAACTGACAAGAGGCCAGTGGCCAGGTAAGTGAGACATAGAAGGTAACAACCCAGATGGTCAGTGGAGAGATGGTGTCTTTGAGATAAAGTCTAGGAAGTTCTCCTCAAAAGCTTTAGGCCTATTATTCAAATGTAAGACCTTTTCAGCATGAGCTTTTAAATGATATTGCCTTTTCCCCTACATAACACACTTTGCCTACTTTTCTTCTTATACTTCTCTTCCAATTCTAACTAGCTGGTGTACTTCTCCACCCTCTATAATGATACTCCTTTCTATCCAGAGTTTGGATCCAGTTCCTTTTGAGCTTCCCATTCTCTTTTTTATTTAGTCTTGTAAAAGCATCACTGTATCCTGAAATATATATTTTTTTACATTGCCAAAGACTTATTTTCTTTAACTAGTTTTTTTTCAGGTACAAGAGTTCATACCATAATCAATTCATTCATACTTTTAACTGATGTTTACTGATTTTTTTAACATGTGTGAGATACTTAGCTAGGTGCTGCAGAGATGAAAAAAGGAATAAGCAGTTTCAGAATTTATAGCCTCATAGGAGTCTGTAAATAACTTCTACAAAGCAGAGAACCACCATAAGAGAAGTTAAAATAGGGAGCTTAGCAGAAAGTGAGGGCTAAAGATGTAGAAGAGGAGTTGATTTACATAGAAGTCACAGGAAAAGATTTGGGAATACTTATCATTGACTTTAGATAGAGTGTTAGGAATGAAGGGCCTGTGTCTCCTGGAAGAAGTTAGAGCTGGCAAAGATAGATCTGGTATGAAGGAGGAAAATGGGACAGCACATTATTCATTCAGTGTATGTTTATGGAGCACCCATTGTGTGTCCAGCACTATTCTCAACACTGAGTTTATAGTAATGAATAGAACATGCAAAATCTCTGTTTCAGAGCTTACCTCCCAGTGCAGGAAGAGATACAAAAATAAATGAATATGAGGGGTCTTGGAAAGGTTCATGGAAGGATTCATATTATCTTTTAATTCCATTTTTCCATGAACTTTTTGAAGTATCTTCTTACATGGTATATCAGGTAATAGTAAGTGCTAAAAAGAAAAATAAAGTGGAGAAAGGGGATATAGGGTGCTATTTTATGTGAAGTAATAAGAGAAACTTTTTCTAATAAGGTAATATTTGGGC